GCAGACACACCAGAACCAGCAGACGCCAGAACCAGCAGAGACACCAGAACCAGCAGACACCAGAACCAGCAGACACCAGAACCAGCAGAGACACCAGAACCAGCAGAGACACCAGAACCAGCAGACACACCAGAACCAGCAGACACACCAGAACCAGCAGTGGCACCAGAACCAGCAGTGGCACCGGGCTCAGGCGTTACAGAGGAGAGTCAAGCGAAGCCTTCAGAGGCTCGTCTTGAGCGGTGAGTCATCGTTCCAGCTGAGAGTCCAGAGCTTCACCGGGAGGAAGAGTCCTCTTCATCATCCTCGGCTGAAATCAGGAGCAGCTTCTGGTCTCTGATTGTTGGAGCTCGTCACTGTCTGGTCCCAGACTGGTTCTGTGGCTCAAGGTGAGCCCATCGGTACCTCAGAACGTCCTACACAAGCTCGACTCTTTCCCTACCAGGAAACTGATGTTCCAAGTCTCTAAAGCCCGTTTCAACTCCTTACTGCACCTCCTGCAGATGGATGGTCCTCAGGACACTGGTCCCCTGTATCATGTTAAAGCTGCACCCAATCAGACCCCAGTGGTCTGGAGTGAGGTACAGTTTTTAACACCTGGGCGAAGCACTGAGGTTCAGAAGGAGTCTGAGACCTTGGTCCCTGATTGGAAAAGGGTGGACTCAAACATCTGGGTTGGAACTGAGCAGCGGTACCTCAGGATTTGTTGAGAAGTTCAGAGCTCGGAGTCCTCCACGTTGTGGGATTCAGGCGTTTGGAAAGAATTCCTTCTGGACCCTCAGGGCAGATCCTGGACTCCCTGCAGAGATTCTTTCAGACAAAAGTTCTGAGGACTCCTCAGAGTCCCTCTGGATGACCTGGAGGAGGTAAAAGTGTTTTTGTAAACTGAAGTTGATGTTTTTCTTTTTCTAAATCAGAACAAAAATTAAACCAGCTTCATCTTCAGACCAAACGCCTTCTTCTGTTTACGGCCACATGTTCAGTCTGTTTGTTCCTACGTTTGATGTTTTTCTCATGAACACCGTCCTGCCTTTTGTCCGCCACATGGATGAGTGATCCGACCTGCACCCGGCTCCTCGTGCATCTCCTCCACGAGATTTCAGTAAACATTCTTCTTGGTTTCCACTCCGCTGCCTCACCTGTGAGGAGAAAAGGTCATGAGTTTAAGATCAACCAGCAGGAACAACGTGTTGGTGTGAGAGCAGCTCAAAGATCTACTGCTCACTCAGAAAACTCCAGATCTGCTGCTGAGGACGGGTCCACAAACTCAGATGAGAGTTCTGGGCTCATCAGCTGACACGTGAATCCTCCAGAACCTCTCAGAGCTCGACCAGACCAGGTCCTGGTCTCAGTTGACCCATGAATCTTTCAGTATTCTGGTCTTCACGTGTGAACGTTTCAGGCAGGAGCTGCGTTGGTGCCCTTTGACTTTTCAGCAGAAAGATTAGTTTTTACGATTTTCTGTTAGTTTTCCTTTTTAATGTAAACAAACTTTTTAAAACATTAACTGATTGGTTGGTTGGTCTATTGACTGACTGACTTGATTAGTTGCTTTACTGACTGGTTGAATATTTGGTTGACTGACCTGTTTCTTCTCCACAGGAAGTGCTGGTACTGCAGTGACCTTCAACAGAAATGGTGATGCTCCTGGACGTTATGACCTGTTCCAGTACCAGTGGAACAACGTGACTGGGCCAGGGTACCGTGTAATTGGTCAGTGGATGGACAGCCTTCAGCTCAACGTGAGTCTTTACCACTTTCAAGTATTCTTACTCTGATTTCTGCAGCTGTAGAGCTATATCAAGAGAATCAAAAACCAGCAACATTCATGAACCCAGTTTGAAAAGACTTGGACTGGGACAGACCAGAGGAACTGAGTGGTCTTTATTAGGAACATGATGGTTATCTGACATCGTTGTTGGTTATGTTGGTGTAGATTCACAGTCAGTCATTCAGGATGTGTCCCATAACCTTTAGATGTAGATGCACAGACTAGACCTAAAGGTTAGGGACATTCTGCTAAGGACCAAAATGTTTGTATTTTGCACAGAGAAGACAGATGTTTTTTTTTGTTTGTTTGTTTGTTTTTTTTGTTTGTTTTTTTTTTTTGGGGGGGGGGTGTAGTTTAAGTTAAATAGAAAAAACAGAGGAGGAGGTCTCAGATTTCAGCTTTTTAAAATGTATAGCAATAAACTTGATTTGCAGTCGGTTTCACTCTAATTCACACATTTTTGTGAGCAAGACACAGGCTAACAATACCCCGATGACCCTCAGGAGGGTGATGAGGAAGACAAAACCCTAATGATCCTCAAGAGGAGGGGAGAGCGACAAAGACCCTAATGACCCTCAGGAAGTAAAGGAGGGAGATGAATACCTGATGACCCTCAGAAAGGAGGGGAGGGAGACAAAGACCCTAATGACCCTCAGGAGGGAGATGAGGAAGACAAAACTCTAATGACCCTCAAGAGAAGGGGAGAGCGACAAAGACCCTAATGACCCTCAGGAAGTAAAGGAGGGAGATGAATACCTGATTACCCTCAGGAGGGAGGGGAGGGAGACAAAGACCCTAATGACCCTCAGGAGGGAGAGGAGGTAGAGGAAGTAGAGGAGGAGAGGAGGGAGCGAAATACCCAAATGACCCTCAGGAGGGAGAGGAGGGAGACAAAGACCCTAATGACCCTCAAGAAGGAGGGGAGGGAGCTATTGACCCTAATGACCCTCTGGAAGTAAGGGAGGGGGACAAACACCCTAATGACCCTGAGGAAGGATGAGAGTCATTAGGACAAAAATCCTAATGACCCTCAGGAAGGAGTGGAGAGAGAGACAAAGGCCTCAATGACCTTCAGGAGGGAGAGGAGGGAGACAATGACCCTAATAACCTTCAGGAGGAGGAGAGGTAGACAATGACACTAATGAACCTCAGGAGGGAGGGGAGGGATGAAAAAATAACCCTGATTAACTTCAGGAAGGAGGGGAGGGAGACAAAGACCCTGAAAGAGGGGAGTTCGGGGAGGGAGGTTGTGAATTCACAATCAGCTGCATGAACAGAGCTTTTCATTTAAGGCTTAGAACTCCACACTTTCCAGTTTGACATTAAGAAAGCTCCTCTAAACAATGAATAAACCCAAGAAAAGTCCAGTTGCTTTGTTTTACAAAATGTTTTGAGATGTTTGTGGATTAATTTGATGTGATGAAATGGTCCTTCAGTGGAGGAATTCGAACAAAATCAGATTTCAGTAAAAAGCTCTTTTAACTTCTGAGTTTGTACTTTACTGCTGAATCATGGAGCAGACTGGTCCTTCTGGGAACTGTGGACTCAGCTTTCTGAGAACGGGCTCCAACAAGTCAGAACATTCAGTGAATTCACTGTCCTGGTGTCCAGTCACACCAGGATGGAGCATGACTGCTGGTGGATCAGACAACAGGTGGGCAGGTTGGGACATCCAGAAAACAGAGAAATTAAAGCGTGAATTGGAAAATACATGTTCAAAAAACTGTTGCAAAATTTATAAATTAAATACGAATGAACATAAATTAATACTCAAAAGATTTTATTTCCCCCAAAATCTCTGTGGTTTAAAATAAACAAAACTTCCAGAAAGATTAAAGATCCAAACTAAAGTCCTCCTGCTGTAAATTACAAACATGACCAAGTGACACGACGACACCAAGACATGACAAACTGGACTTGGTTCATCCGTCGGTCGAGACAAAAATGCTCACGTCTCTGAAACTGATGAGGAAACGTTCTTCAGTCTAATGGCTCAAAAGATGTCAGCAGTGATTTTTATAAAAGTGGGATAAACTCACAGAAACCAAAACAAGACATCATCAGAACTGACTTTAATAAAACTACAAATGGACGTGAACCTCACACTGACAGGAAACAAAGAAAACCAACTAAAGAACGATAAACCTCCAGAAAACACCAAAAATCACGACGACTCACTGACACCAGCTGACTCAGAACCTTGTGGAAAGTTTAAATACGGATTAAAAAACTAAGAAACACATTCCAGATCCCTTCTAACTGAAGGAGCCTTGAAGAGTCGATGACCGTTTACCGAGCGGCGTGAAGACCAGTTCAGAGACCAGGTGTGGAGGTCAGGTCTCTGGTTTGAAGTTCAGGTCATGGTCTGAAGGAGACCTGTTGCTCCACCTGGCTGCTGGAGTCCTCAGCACCTCCTCCTCCTCTGAATTCAGAACCACGTCTGAGCTCTTTCACAACACTAAATTATTCAGCGTATCGGCCCCTGGTGCTCCAGATGTGGCAGACTTGTTGCCATTAGACGTCCCATTATTGCTCCCTGCCCATAATTCCTGGGTGCGTATTTCACGCCGCGTCGCCCTCCACGTTACGAAGAGCAGCCATTACTGAGGCGATAGGTCCGGCGCAGCGCGGGCCCTCGTATGAATTAGCCGAGGAGCGTGTAGAAGGTAATTTGACACGGAGGCTCAGAGGAGTAATCAGCAGAGTAACCTTTGTTTGAACTGGCTGTTAACAGAGTGAGAGGAGAAGAAGCCTCCTGTCCCTGGGGGGTTCTGTCCTCATGTGTTTGGATCAATTATCTTAATGTGCTGCCGTGACAAACCTGATGTGTGCAGCAGAGACGAGGCCTCCTGGTTCCGCTCGACTGGGTGTCCCGGCTCCATCAGACACGTCTCAGTCTCCGTCAGCCTTCATGTCTTTAATCTTTACGACCGTGATGTTTTATTACTTCCATAAAAATAATAATGACACCGTGGAATCTGCTGTTTTTCTTCACTTCAGGTTAAATTAGATCCAATTCAGACCCTTAGCAAAACCTGATTTGTTTATTGTGTCCTAATAAGAACTGAAGGGCGGGGGGAGTTTTAGGACTTCTGTTGGAGCCCAACATAAATAACGAAACAATTAAAAGTAAACCCAGACCCAGCTGCTGTCAGAGCTGAACGGAAGTCCCATCATCACGTCACATTTCGTTTGTAGCATCTGTACAGATCATTAAACACGTCTGAACTGATCGGTCCGATCAACACTTCAGGTCCCCGAGGTTCAAACTGACCAACGAGCTGTCACTCTGTCAGAGCTGCTGTTTGGTCACAGTGGAAATAAATGGAAACATCTCAGTGGAGGTTTGTCTGAAGGTCGTTGTGTTTGTATAAAACAGACGGAGGCTCACAGTTAATCTTTACTACAGCAACTGAGAGAGGACACACGGCCCTCCTTTATTTCACTCTCACACCTTCAAACCCCGTCTCTTCACGGCACCGCCCTCCGGCTACGAGAAGAGATTACAGCAACAGAACAAAACGAATGCATTTTCTGTGTAAACCTGAAAACATCTCCGCTTTTACCCAAACCACGTTTTTTCCTCACACAGTCGTATGTCCAGGCTGGTGTGTGTCTTTCCCTTTGAAGAACAGTTCGTTTCAGTGTCGGTGTTAAGCTGAGAGGTTCAGTTCAGGTGTCAGTCCTGGGTGTTTCACTGAAGCCAAGTGAAAGCTGTGCTGCATTCCATCTTCTCCCATCGCTGAGGAGGAATGAACTCAGTCCAGTTTGGTGCTGCACTGACAACAAATAGCAGTACCGGCTCTCTCCTTTAGCCACATGAAAAGGCCCTGACCGTAGCTCCAGCAGAGAACTTGGTAGCCTTGGCTTCTCCTTTTGTTGTTTCATGTGCACTTTTTTAATCTCTGACATTGTCTCGTAGTTTATTTTCCTTAAGTTGAGGCAGAATGTCCTGTTTTGTCCTCACTGGTCCTCCTCGGAGAAGCTGGACAGGTGGAGCCCAGTAGTTTCCAGGTCCCATCAGGACTACATGTGCTACAGATTGTGCTGCCTGAATGGAGTTTCTTAGAACTCTATCAGAACGTTCCACACTCCACCAGAGGATGATAAAGACCTGCTCTGCTGTGCTTCTGATGCTCACTCATGAAATCAGCCAGATCAGAAGATGTAACTTGTGGTCCATCATCAGTTGAGATGGTTCTGGTTGAGGTGTCCTTTCATGGACAAAAACGGAAGTTAGGACTTCCATGACAGCGTTTGATGTAGCATCAGGAGAGAGGATGCTTCTTCAGGTCCTTTACTGAAGTCATCAACAAGGGTGATGGAAAATCTGCAGCCTGAAGCTCCGTGTTCGAATAGACCCACGGTCCACAGCAACGTGTTGACGAGGACCCATGGTCCACAGCAACGTGTTGACGAGGACCCACGGTCCACAGCAACGTGTTGACGAGGACCCACGGTCCGCAGCAAGGTGGTGATGTGAACCATTGGTGTCCACAGCAATGTGTTGATGCAGACCAATATTGTCCACAGCAACATGTTGACGAGGATCCATGATCCACAGCAATGTGTTGACGGTGACCCGCGGTTCACAGCAACGTGTTGACGCGGACCAATGGTGTCCACAGCAATGTGTTGACGGTGACCCGCGGTTCACAGCAACGTGTTGACGAGGATCCACTGTGTCCACAGCAATGTGTTGACGGTGACCCGCGGTTCACAGCAACATGTTGACGAGGATCCACTGTGTCCACATGTGGGACACATGACCCCTGTGAGCAGCACCTGCCTGACAGGTGACGTAACGACCAGCTCAAAGGAAAACTGAGTCCTAATGTGATGCTTTCAGACATAATTTGACACTTTTTGGTTTTCCAAGAGCAAAAACAGACAAACTTATGACTGTGGGCAGTTTGATCAGGACTTTGGCCACAATTAAATAAAAAAATGATGAAAACAAAGCCGAGACAAGCTCTGAAGGAGCTGACGGAGCAGAAACTCAGCAGATTTGTTCTTCTCTGAAATTTAATTAGAAACATCAGCCCAGCCTCCTGATGGTCTCACTACAGTAAAGTCACATAATAACACATGAGCTGACAGCAAATATGGGATTTACTCGTCAAAGTGTCACCTCCCTGTAATCTCCCTCACAGTGTGAGGATTAAACTGTCCCTCTCTGTGAGACGGGATTAGCAGCTGTATTCATCCAAACAGCTGCTGATGAGTCTGCAAACCAGCTCAGTCACTGTTAAACACAATTTATTCACCTGCTCTGAGCTGAACGCAGCATGCACACCATGTTCACTCTCAGCTGTCAGGTGAGTCCTCACACGGCCCCCCCAGTCCAGGCTGGAGACCCCGATTCATCCACCGCCTCGAACCTCGTCCATTAATGGATCCAGTCCAGTCAAACTCTTCTCTTACATCTCCCCATAGACGTATGTGGAGGTTAAACCTAGTCCTGTTTGGACTCAGACTTCACAGCAGAACCATCACTGAGTTTAAACGGGTCACAGGAAGTTGGACCGAACTGTTTTCAGAACTTTTAACTTTTTGTACCTGAAGCCACAGGTAGAAAATGTTCAGGTTAGAACCTGATGATGTCACACCAACTCTTGAGCTGTCTGAACTTTCAAACATTTTTTTCAAACTTTCTGACATCTAGTTTCTTCTACAAACTTCAGCACGTCCGTCTCCTTCCGCTCAGTGTGTCTCTGCTGGAGGACTGATGAGGACTCTCATGACTTCCACTGCATCTGAGCTCGGAGGTTTCTCCTCCAAATAAGACGTCAGGGCTCTTTACCTTGTCAAATCTCCTCTAAAACACAGTAGAAACGTAAAAATGAGCAGGTGGGACCATCAGAACCTTCTGCAGGATCCAGAATCCATCTTCGGCTTTTTTCATCTACAGAAAGACGCGAGGAATTCTTCAGCTGTCGTCTTCTCACTCAGGTTCAGGAAGAGTGATTAAAACAACAGAAACAGGAGCTCCGCTGCAGCCAAGGGATAAACCATCAGAATCAAACGCACAGGAGGAGGAGGAGGAGGAGGAGAAGGAGGAGAAATGAAGACTCAAGGCCTCCCCCCAAAAAAAATACTAATGTAACCATGGCAACGAAGCAGATCCCATCACTGAGGTTTTCATAAAACGTTTGATGAATGGTGCCCTCTAGAGGCTGGATGATGAACTGCAGAGCCGAGAGGAAGAGGGGAGGAGGAGACTAATGAGTTTCTGGATGAGATGCTGGTGAAGATCCATCCAGGTCAAGAAGAATCCAACAAAGGTTAAAAACTAAAACAACTGGACTCGTGTTCTGCAGACGTTCCTCTCCATCGGGTCTAAAGTGCCTGCAGTGTGGAGCTCTCAGCTTTGAGAGGTCTGGTTTGTTCTTAGATCAGCTGCAGGTGAGACAGTAACTACTCGCCCTCACAGGAGAGGCTCGTCAGGCTCTCTGTCTGCCTGGTTCTGAGAGATGTTTGGCTCATCTGCATGAAGGTGTGAACTGGACTGGAGCTGACCTGGGATCAGACTCTGTAGGTTTTAGAAAGTTGAACTCTGAGACCTCCTCCTCTGTTTAAAGCTGGTTTATTTTGTTTGACACCTCCTTCACCTCCTTCACGGACACCCCCTGAACTCTGGAGCTCTGAGCCGAGAGGGGTGAGCAGATACTTGTCTTTTTTCTGACTGGTTTTCATGCATCGATACATGTTTGTATATTTGTTGTGTATGCAACCTGTCTGTAAAGTGCGGGTTAGAACTCCTCACCTGCCGAGAGAGTGGTTCAAGTAAACGACGTCAGAGAACGAGAGAATTTCTCCAACAAGTTGTGTTTTTTTATTCCAGATGGAGGACTTGCAGTGGCCTCGGGGGGAGCAGGACATCCCCACCTCCGTGTGCAGCCTTCCCTGTCGAGCCGGAGAAAGGAAGAAGGTGGTCAAGGGCATGCCCTGCTGCTGGCACTGCGAGCCCTGTGATGGGTACCAGTACCGGTCTGACGAGTTCAGCTGCAAGCTCTGCGCCTACAGCATGAGACCCAGCTCCAACCGGACCTCCTGCCAGTACATCCCCATTATAAAACTGGAGTGGCACTCCCCCTGGGCTGTGATCCCGGTCTTCCTGGCCATGCTGGGGATCATAGCTACAATCTTCGTCATGGCGACGTTTGTGCGGTACAATGACACTCCGATTGTCCGAGCGTCCGGCAGGGAGTTGAGTTACGTCCTCCTGACTGGAATATTTTTGTGTTACATCATCACCTTCCTGATGATCGCCAAGCCTGACGTTGGGGTGTGCTCCTTCAGAAGGATCTTCCTAGGTCTGGGTATGTGCATCAGCTACGCCGCCCTCCTCACCAAAACCAACCGCATCTACCGGATCTTTGAGCAGGGTAAGAAGTCTGTGACGGCCCCGAGGCTGATCAGCCCCACCTCCCAGCTGGCCATCACTTTCAGCCTGATCTCAGTCCAGCTGCTGGGGGTTCTGGTCTGGTTCGGGGTGGATCCGCCCAACATCGTTGTGGACTACGACGAGCAGAGGACCATCAACCCGGATCTGGCCCGAGGGGTGTTGAAATGCGACATCTCAGACCTGCAGATCATCTGCTCACTGGGTTACAGTATCTTACTGATGGTGACCTGCACTGTGTATGCCATTAAGACCCGCGGGGTCCCGGAGAACTTTAACGAGGCCAAGCCCATCGGGTTCACGATGTACACCACGTGCATCGTGTGGCTGGCCTTCATACCCATCTTCTTCGGCACGGCACAGTCTGCAGAGAAGGTAAGAGTTCATGTTAACTTAACATTAAAATGTTCATTTCTTCTTTCCGCTGCTTCTTCTTCAGGGGTCACCACTGCGAACTAAGTCGCACAAAGACTTGGCGATTATTTTTACGCCAGATGTCCCTCCTGACGCAACCACAGACCACCGAGCTACCGCAGCCCTCTGAGTGGAGCAGAGAGCTGCCATCTAGCAGCGCCCGGGGAACAGATGGTAAGGGCCTTGCTCAAGGGCCCAGAGTGGAGCAAATGAGGCAGGTGTGGGTGTTTCATCACTCCCACCCACACTTTGATGTTGTCGGCACCAGGAGTTGAACCGGCCCAACAGGCCCACCTTCTCTAACCTCTGCACCACCACTCCTGCTCACGCTCATGTATAAAGAAAATGTCCTCAGATAAAAATAAACACAATACGGGGGAGTGGTGGTGCAGAGGTTAGAAGATGGGCTTGTGATCGGAAAGTCGCAGGTTCACCTCCCGGTACCGTCAACATCAAAATGTGGGTGGGAAAGGTGAAACACCCACACCTGCCTCCACCCTCATTTGCCCCACTCTGGGCCCCTGAGCAAGGCCCTTAACCCCCACCATCTGCTCCCTAAACTCTCTTGAAAATGAGTTCTTGTGACTCAATGAGACTACCTGTATAAATAAAGGGTAAATAAATAAATAAATAAATAAAAATAAATTATGACTCAAGTCCCGTCTGCAAACGGTGGTTTTCTGTTGAGTTTGCACCGCCTGTCCACCCTAAGGGAGGTTTTGTGTTAAAGAAATGCTTTTTGAATATGGGAAAGTTAAAAACTCTCATGTCTGGTTGGTCTGTGTGGACAGGATATCCAGAACTTTTCAGAAACAATGATGTAGAAACCTGTTTTGACCTTGACCATTGTCCCTTTGTCCCAAAGGGTCCTGTGTCCCGAGGTGGCTTTTCCTCACAAAGGTTTAAACAAAGAACGCCCAGAGATGACAGCAGTCAGGATTCCACTGGTCCCATTTTACTCAGAACTTTGTCCCAGAACAGGCTGATCTTCGGGATCAAACATGGACATAAATTTGGACACAGTCCTACATTAGAACATCTGGTTGGAACATCTGGTTGGAATCACAAACACTTTCCTAGAACTTTGGTGAAAACTTGTTCGTGCAGGAACACGGACTCAGACCACGGTCTCGTTACGATAAAACTGTTCCTCACAGGTAGACCTGCTCTCGTCAATAATAAAATATAACTCTGTTATATTCTACCGTGGAAGGCAGGTGATCATGTAATTACCTCTGTGTGTGTTAAATATCTCATGAACCAGTGGCCTTCTTTTACTCTCAGAAAGCTGTAACTGGATGTTTCAATTCAAGATGGCTGCCAAAGCTAATCACCCTAAGGAAACACAAACATGTTTATAACTCGGTGACTGACAGATATGTTTGGTGTGGTAGTAGCTGAGGGTCATCCCTCGGTGACGGGCAAAATGCATTCCACCAAGAAACGTCCGTTTCTCTCCTTAGCCTGTCGTCTTTAAACTTTGATCGGGTTGTTATGAAGATTAATAACTAACAACATCAAAGGAAATGAGGTTTTAGAAAAATGATCTGTGTAGTTTGAGAAGTCAATAATCAATAGTTCAGTAATGGAGCTGCAGCGAATCTCAGAGGTTTTTATAGAACGCGTGAGCAGAGAACCATATTTAGATTATTTACTGAGAACAGAGGAAATGTTGAAAGACTGAGACGTGTCGATCGGACCTTCAACTAGGGGACATCTGGTTGTATAGACAGTCAGGTCCTTTTACATCCATCCATCCATCTATCATCCATCCATCCATCTATCATCCATCCATCCATCTATCATCCATCCATCCATCCATTCATCCATCTATCCATCCATCCATCCATTCATCCATCCATCCATCCATTCATCCATCCATCCATCCATCCATCCATTCATCCAT